ACAATGATCTGAAAGTTGACAGCAGGTGATTTGGATTTTCCAAGAAGAAATAGAAACAAATAAGTCTTCTCCCCTACTCTGTGCTCTGGGAAACAAAACTACTTGCACAAGCTAAATAAGGTACATTTGGCTTGTAATTGTGAGTTCCCAAATCTGCCCTGTGAGGCACTTTATATGTACAGAATATATGAGTAGTGTAGAAAATGAAGATCAGCTGGCTTGGTCAGGGTCACACAAATTAGAACAAGCAGGACAGAAATTCCAACCAGGTCTCTGATGTCAGAACCCACTCTTCCCACTGTGTTGGAGCTTATTCATTAAAGATTCATTAAAATATACAACTACATGATAACTGTATCATGATGCTAAAAGTACATTCAATTTAGTAGCATTAAAATATGATTCCAAATCTCAGTATTAGGTTTTTACTTGCTCTAACATAATTGCTTTTTGATTTTAATTCAGACAATTAGTCTATGCGATTTGAATCATTAAAATACACTTAAAAATGTCAGATGAGGATATTACTCTATTGAAATATTCAATGATGTATTCAAATTGAACAAAAATTTGTCCAAAAACACCCCTAAATGTCTACCAGTTTGACAGACTACAAAACTTACTAATGCTTTTTTTGAAAATTAATTTTATTGGTACATTTTAGGTATACAATAGAATGACATTCATCATTGGAGATTTGCACCTTTACATAGTCTCTCTTGGTTCTTATTTTTCCCCCTTCCCCTGCCCCTCCTTCAACCCCTCCATCCCTCTCTATTTACAAAGACTTTGTTTCCATTTTTTCATTTTCTCATATTAATTCCATTCCCTTCCTTTTACCCTAACCCTCCCATTTCCCCTTCCCCTTTGCACCTTTTCTTCCTATTTCACATTATCTATTACACCTTTTAGTCCTTATTTACACTTTCGGTTTCTCACACCAGAGAAACTATTCGGTATTTACACATGTGTGTCCTATTTATTTCACTTAAGAGGATCGCCTCAATGTGCATCCAATGCTTTTTATGCATGAACAAATTAGCACAGCTGTTCTGCCACGTGTGCCTTACCATCAGGCAAACAAAGAGGTAGAACTCTGTAGATCCAAGTCAACATTTCTAAGTGTTCTACTTGGATCTGTATTTAATTTTTCTGCCTCAACAGCAGTAAACTACTGTACAACCCTTTAGCCAAATAAACATGATAACTGCCCAAGATTTTGGCTTTAGCCATGCAGCAGGTGATGACAGAGAATGTAGAAGGTATACTATTTAGAACTAAAAAAAGTGTAGTTGGCAGTCTGGCAACTGAGCTCCTGATTTGTAAAGTTCTTTATTCTAGTACTAAACTCAGCACCTTATGGAATGTGATATGTTGTCATTGTTCAGCATGGGAGCTGTGGCAAGGCAAAATGAATGCCTTTCAGATTGCATATCACAGTAAACATCAAGCTAAATAACAGGAATATGTAACAACTCCGCTGTTTGTTCCAAACTGTTCATCTCACCGACTCCATGGACCTTTACTCTCACTCTCTGGCCCCCAGAGTTGAGAGAAAGACGATGACCACAGTGCCTTAGCAGTCCTGTAACATAACATTGGCTGGGAGCTGTGGGCAGGGTAGGGAGAAGTGAAGAGGTGGAAATGAGCAGCACTCTCTCCCACTCTGGGTTCACGGGTACATGGCCTGCTGGTGGCAGCACAGGAACCATTAAGAGGAACACTGGGCTTGCTGCGAGTAGCAGTGACTTGGATTCTCAGCTCCTTCCAATATAACCCACAGGCCTCCTATGGACTTGATAACTGTGGAAATGATGCTACCCTTTTCCAGTATTGTGCCTAAGCCTTTGATAAGATCAAGGGGTCTTCTGGGACCCCCTGAGTCTTGAAGGGTGAAACACAGCAAACAAAAGAGGCTTAAATCTGTATACTCTAGTGAATTCCTGGTTTCTGTGATGCTCCAAAATGCTTTCAACGCCATCTTTGGCCTTTTCAGTCTCTGGTGATATTTTGATCCCTAATGCTGCAACTCAAATAGCACAACTGATTTTGCTTATAACCTATACACATAAATATTTCCACAAAAGCAGAGTGTGGAGAGAGGTAGAATTGGTCGACATGGCTGCATCTGGAAACTGACTCCAAATGTCAACTTGCCTTGAATAATATGAAAAATATGAGATGTGCTTCACCCTGTGACTTCCTAAAATCCTTTTGATTACAATTAGTAAAATCTCCTTAACCATCAATAGAACCAAATCTTTAACATATCTTTTTTATTTAGATAAATTATTTAGAACATTATTTTTAAAGGAATAATTTATAAACCCGCTATATATCTGCTGTAAGCAACTGGGTAGATAAAATACTTTCGACTGTATCTTGATGGTTAAATAAAGTTTTACAGTATCTATTTTTTTATTTCAAGGTATTCAGTGATTTATCAGACTGCAGGAGTTAATTACATGGATAGTTCCATAATATTTGAATTATCTGTGCTCTTTATACTGTTAGTAAATTTATTTGTGGATAGTCATTTAAAATTTTAAAAGCCATCAATCAAATTTGTTAAATTAACAAATCATCGAGAATAAAACAAAAAAATAGTCATTTTAAAATCTGCTTTCCTAACTCTGCATATCTCTAATTGATGCATCTCTTCCTAATTAGTTATAAACTGTTTAAATTTATTGGTATCATAATGACAGATAAACTAAAATAACTGACAAGCATCAAATATTCCTAAGTTTTACTGGTTCATGGGGATCTTCTACACACACATACATGAATAAAATAACCATACTACTTGCTTGAATACAAACCTGTATTCAGTCCAAAAGCTGACAGCCTCACTAAGCAACTAAGTATATTTCTAGAAATCTTCCTTCTAATATATTTCATGCTAAAGACAATATTCCACAAATATGCACAAAATCTTTTTCATTCCTAACTGTAAATGTGGTCACACTGATTTATTCTGAACTGTAAGAAAAAAATAAAAGATACATCGAAAACTGTTTATCATTGAGACAAGTTTCAAGCTGTCATTAATTGCTAATAAATGCAAATCAAGGTGAACCTTAATAGTGTAGCTAGTTATAAACACCATTTGCATTTCCATGATTGAGTTTGTTGCTCTTTATCTTACAGGCCTTGAATAAGGTTAGTCTAACATATTAACAAAAGTGCTGCAGCAATGTGTAGACGCACTTGGTTTATCAACCATAGTTTTTATAAAAGGATCTCTTTACCATAACAAAATCAATGATAGTTTATGTATATTTTGTGTTTTTTTGGTGTTGAGGATCAAATCCAGGACCTCATGTATATTAAATGAGTGCTCTATCCCTGAGCTATACATCCTTAGCCCCAAACCAACAAATTTTTAACAAAAGTGTTGTGTCACAACATAAAAGAAAAATCTATTTTAATATAACATTAATGAAGCACACATAATATTGTTACTTAGCTAAAATAATTAGCAATTAAGTTAAATTAAGTTTTAATAAAAGTTTAAAATACAGTATTTTTAACTTCCAGTTCTTGTTTTTGTCCTATACATATATAGTTGAATATACATACTGTATTACATACACACATAATTGAATATATGCATTTAATTCCATCAGCCCTTGAATAGTATCAAATGTAGAAATTCATTTTCCATTTTACTGGAAAATCTGAACTGCTTTAGAGATAAGATAGAGAATAAGAGCAACTTTTGTTTAAACTGGGTTGCCCTTTAAATGACACTGCACAAACACGAGTAGAAATAGAAAAATTCTAATTTTAGAAACTGCAGCATATAAATATTTCCACTAGGCAAACGTCAAGACAAAGTGGATAGAAACAGTGAAAGCAGGTCTGTACTTTCTTGGCTACACATCTGGAAGCAGAAAATCTTGATACAAGAGTCTTCTTTAAGCACACACACACACACACACACACAATTTTCATCCAAAGACAACATTCTCATCTTAAATTGTCTAATTGGTGAATTTCTAAACAGTTGTTTGTTCCATTTTTTTAAGATAGAAAATTACTGGCACCACTGTATTTCTCTTATTCTGAGTCATTATTTCTAAAATTCTTCTTTGTTAACAAATGTTGACTAAAAGTCTAAAACAGTACCCAAAGTTTAATAAAACAGCCTCTAAGCAGATAATTTATATTGACTTCAAAAAGATAATCCTAGTGATTACATAATTAGAATAAATAGAATTTTAAAAATTTAATCAAGCAAACTCATTTATTTTCCATTATACTTTTACTAATACATTGGAAATAACTCTGTTGACAAAAGTAATCTAATCATTTTTGGAAACACCAAATCACACTATCACAAGTAGTTAATAAAATGTCAAAAGGAGAGATGGCAGATGGCCATGGCAGTAATGCAAATTTCATTAGCACCCAGTCTCACTAGTGTAACAGTGTTTACTTTGTCACTTCCAAATAGAATACAGCTACAGCACACACTAGAGCAAATGAATTCCTGCCAACTTTTCACAATAAAAGGACAATAAAGCAGCTTCCTTTTTCTTTCATATATTAGAGGGAAAAAAAGACAGGGATAAAGTAACCTTATTAAGCTAAACATAGTATAAATAATTGCAAACTCTGTATACAACAAATCCAAGCTTAAAAACAATTGATATTTCCTTATCAAAAATTTTTAAAGAGATTTATCATCCTTTTTTGAAATGTTATAAAAATTAATTCCTTAATATTCACACAAATGTCTTTATAGTTCATAGAAGAGATAATTTATTAAACTAGAGATATTAACATATTTGGAAATGTTAGGTGTTTTATTCTTTTATCTCAATATCTAATTACTGATAAAGAATTATCATGGATCATTTTACCTTGAAAGAAGCAATATATATTAAACATATATTCTAATAAGGACCTCAGGATAAAGCAACTTAAGGTTTGGAAATATAAAATATCTAAATACTTCTTCAATAGTTGGTACATATGTTTTATTATTGTCTTACCACAATGATTTTATCATGAAGCTCCAGTCCATTCACTTTGTCAGCAGGTCCATTTTCTAAAATTTTTGAAACATAAATTCCTTCAGTTGATGATTCTTGATTAGTCTATAAGAAAGAAAATACATAAGCAAACTTTTTGAGACAGGACAATTTTCTAAATGTAAATTTTCAATCATCCTTAAACAAGCAACACTCAGCTGGGAATTTGGCGCAGAATTTTAACTTACTTTAACATCAAGGAGTCATTAATCAAGATGGCAGCTTCAATGAGCAAGACCAACATCTGACAAGATTATCAGTTTGCTTCACATTTTGATTACACTTAACAAGCTACAGGGACAGGGCATGCACAGGTGAGATCAACTGGCTCTTGTTTTTTTTTTTTTCAATGTCTCATTTCCAAAGTGAGGTATAAGAGGGTGATAAACATATAAAGGAAGAATATCCAGCCTCTATGAAATAGGTTTTAGATATGGTCATAATTTTGAAAATATAAGTTAGCTTCAGAATCAGTGTGACAAACTTAGAAGCAGCTCGAGCAGGTCTATTCAGAGGTGAGCAGGACCTTGCTCAATTGTGAAATCCCAAAAGATCAAGTCAAAACTGCGAGGATTCAAGGCTAATATTTACACATTTCTAGGTACAATGTGCCTAATGATTAAACATCAAACATATAGCCCTCATGTTACAAATAGGACACTTCCGCTAATCACAATAAACCAATTATATTATAAAATGTATTTAGGGAAAATATTCATCCTATAGTAATATATTTTATTGCTATAAGCGTCATTCTACTTCATGGCAGGTTAAATAAAATTATTTCTCCTTAGCCACCTTTCACATGAGTTTTAAGAGGCTCTTAAAAATCTCCAATGTCATCTAAATGTAAAATATCTAATTCGCCTTTGTAAAAATACCCTTTGGGCAAAATGGAACAAAAATAATTTGATGAAAAGATTTCTATCTTCACATAAGTGGGGAGCCTTGGAAACAGAAGCACAGCAGTTGTTAGTTGCTAGATTTCCTGTCTGCATACGACATGCAAGGAGGAACGAGGTCACTGCCACCCTGACCTAAGCATAGCATATGGCCAACAACGCTCAGTTTCCCTGGAGGACATGTGCCAAGCAAAGTGCAAAGACTCCATGGCAGGAAACTGGGAAAGTCAGGGAACATGACTTTGAACAAACTTCACCACTTTTTTCCACTTATATTGAAAATTAAGTAGATGTAGAACTTGAAGGATATGAAAGAACTTTGCAATTACAGTATATGGTATAAGTTTATAAATGCATTTTGAAAATAACTGGCATTAATATACGGATCATTATTCATTCCATTATAAAGGAGTTGGAAAGTCAAAAATATTTCAAATCAATTTTCTTTAACATGGATATTTCTGTATAATTATGAAAACAGTAATGCTTTATTTCAACTACTCATTCATTTAACATGCATTATTAACTTCCTAATCTGTTAATGTCTAAAAATTGAATAATCTGACTTAACAGGAAGTTTAACAGGCAAAACAATTACCTAATATTACCAAATAGGAATTGCCTGTATATTTTACAGCAGACCCTCAAGTTACTACCGGTCTAACATAGGAACCACTTGGGTTAATTAAGTTAATGAAAGATTCATCTGCCTCTTGCTGTCTATAGAGTGTACTCAGGTAAACATCCAGACCTCAGCTGTACTGACTTAGTTACAACCAGCCCTTGGGAATCAATCGAATTCATAAGTCAAGGATCTACTGTGCTATGAAATGGGTTTAAGAAATTTGCCAATGGTGTGATAAAATGTGAAATCTATACTCTTTTTAGAATGTAGCTCAGACAGCCAAGTTTGTCAGCAGGTTTTTTCCCCCCTCAAGAAGGAAATCTAGATAGGCACTGGAAAATTTATATTAAACAATTTGGTATTTGATCATAAGCATAATTTTAAATACTGAACCTTTTTTGACTTAAAACCCACAAATGAAAGGTCAGCCTTTTATTATTTTATAAGTGGAGTGTGAATAAAAAAGGGGTTACCTGATTTTGTCGACCTCCTATAATGTTGAATCCCAAGGTGTCATTTTCTCGTTCTAACACAATAGTGAATGGGTTCTGTTCTCCATCCTGGAAAAAAGGGATAAAATGATTAAAAAATATAAAAGAAAATAAATACCATAATAAGTTCTTTTACATAAAGAAATTACTTGACATTATTTGAAAAGGGAAAGATCTTAAAATTAAGGATGGCTGACTTTTGTAGATTAATTTCTTCCGGAACATACTTTGAAAGTATGTATTTGAAGAGAACAATTTATGTGTCAGAGTGAAAAAAATACTGGTTTCAAAAATAACCAAATAGCTTTGCATTTTACACTTGTTGCATCTAATTTTGACATCTAATTTAAAACAGATTGGTTTTCTGTTAAACCTTGCAGGAATTTTTATTTTTACTTTTGGTGCCAGAAAATTTTATTTTTACTTTATTTTTATTTTAATTGTCTGTGGACCTTAGAGATGTTTTATGTAAAATTTTCACTTTAGACAGTCTTAAGGGATTGTAAAAATACTGAGATAGTCACAAATTTCTTTTGACACTAATAGTTGTATTGCTAATGTAATGAAGGATCTGTTAGGCTCCACAAAGTGACCCTAGTTTTAAATAATATCCCCATTTGCTTTTACACAGGTCTTGAAGAATAAAAAAAGAAGGATTCCTACTAGGTTAAGTGGTACATAGTACAGGCACTGTATTTCTTTCCTGGTGTTCCAATAATAGTTAAGCAAATAGGCATTATATTTACAACCTGTTGATTAGTAAATACCAACTTAAATATAACATAACATAGTGCTGGGTGAGTTCTGGTCACTTATTGTCACTGGTAACTTATCTTAGGAAATCAGATATTTGGAAGTTACTTCTGAAAGATAAAATTCTGTAAGCATAACTACTACTAACACCACCTTCTGCTGGAACAGCTCCTAGGCACTGCGCACAGCAGCCCCTGCTGGTAGTGGGAGAACATTTCCGAGGAGCCCGTAGCTGCTCTGTGACCCTTAATCCGCACAATGGGCAGTTCCTCACTTTTCAGAGCCAGTGCTGAACTGGCTGCGTGGACTTCCCCATCGTAGCTATTGCTTCTTTCCATCAGCCATTGCTTCCCTAAGACTTTGAAGAGGGTACCAGTACAGCAGAACGTATTTCTGGGCTTTTCTCCAGGTCTTCCCATTTATAAAATGACTTGTTTGTAAGACAGGCCAGAGAAAGAACCCTGGCATCTCAATCTTTTAGCACACTGTGTGCTTCCTTCACCAGGGTAGAAATATTTTACCTCCTCTCATTTTTATTTTTTTTTTTTTTTAGCTACTAGGGCGTCTAAACATGGTGCCAGGGTCGGAGGCAGCACTCAGCATTCAGTCCCACCCTGGGATGGCTTTGGGGTTGGCTCCCCCACCCCTGGGAGCGCTGAAGAATGAAAACAGCTCCTTGAATGGAGTGCAAGTTCTGGTAAATCCCTGCTCACCATGGCAGCGATCAACAGTGTCAAACACTGCACAGAGTCCTCCAGAGGAGAAGAAACAGCTCTATAAACACGCCTCGTTGCATAGGGTGCTGCAGAGAAGCTTGTTTATTCCGTCTGAGAGCAGGCAGCCCAAAAGTGCAGTTCAGGGCCCGCAGCTTCCACAAAGAAGGGCGAGAGCTACTGCCCGGGGCTCCTGGGGCCAGTCTGACGCTGATAGATGTGGCTGCTCTCCGACAAGCTTCAGGCTTGCAAGTCTTACACACCCACACACTCACCACCAGCAATAACCCCGACATCCAGAGGCAAGAAAAGGTCATTCGGGGAAGGTCAGGGTGAGGGACCGGGCTGGTCTAAGAAATTCCATCTCCCAAGCCCCGAGGTGGTGCTGCTCCGTCCTCTCTCTCACGGTCCTGAGCCCAGTACGGGGTGGCTGATGGACGGGGCAGTGTGGCAGAGAGTAAGTCATTCAGAGCCAAAGCCTCGGCTCCTCGGATTTGCTCCAGGTACGGCCCAGGGTACAAAACACGTACAGAGAAGGTGGAGCCAGCCGGAGAATGCAAGCTGGGGAACGAGAATCCGGATGGGAAAGTGAGTTTTCCCAATTCCAGCTTCTCTGAGGGAAAGTTGGAGTCGAATCTGTTTAACTCTTTCCAACCCTCACACAGCCGGGAAAAAGACGCCCCTTGTCAGCCGCGGTAGAACTACAGTCAGGAGACAGCGGCAACAGAGAGTGGCCAGGGCAGTAGAGGACGCCGCCTCCCCACCCCATCGTGCCCTCACCCTCTCGGGGTGCACTTACCCTGCCAGGGCCGCCGCAAGGGTCCCTGGCGAGGCTGCGGACGTGAGCCATGTACTGGGTGAACTTCTCCTGGTACCGGCGGGCCGCCAGCTGCACCTCGCCCCTCAGCGACCAGAGCTGCGCCAACAGCGCCTTCTCGCGCCGCCCCCAGGCGAGGCCCAGCGCCTTGGGTTCTTTGACGCCCGCGCAGCGGCCACGGCGTGGGGTGCAGTCCGGTCGGCGACCGAGGCCGGCGGGGCGGAAGGCGCAGCGCTCCACGTGCGCCGCCAGCTCCCGCAGCCTCCCGGTGTGGCTGCAGCCGCGGGCGCGGTGGTCGCACCGGACACGCAGCTTCTGCACCAGGCTGCGCAGCGGCAGCACGGGGTGCAGCTCGCCCGGCGCCAGAGGCTGGCACTGCAGGGGGCACTGGCGCCTCTGCGCCACCCAGGGCTGCAGGCAGCCGGCGCAGAAGACGTGGCCGCAAGGCGCGCACAGGGGCTCCTCCAGCACCTGGCCGCACAGCTTGCACTGGAAAGCCGGGTCCACGGCTTCCGCAAAGCGCTTCAGGGCGAAGCCCATGTTAGGGAAGGGGAAGAGGGGAAGTCAAAAGGGGGGGGGGTCTGCTTTCTCCTTTGCTCGGCAACTTCTGCCTCCCCCCGGGTCACCCAGGAGCACAGACTCTCAGCAGCCTCTGCTCTTCCGAGGGTAGGGGGCGGGCGAGAGGTGATATCTCAGTTTGAAGTTTTCAGGCTCCAGCTGGGTCCCCTGACGGCGCCACCGTATTGACGCTAATATAAGCCACCTGGCTGTCCCCCGCCTCCTTTGCAACTATTTTAATTAATTTTATTGGTACATTTAAGGCATGCAATATGACTTTCTTCATTGGAAATTTGCACCTTTACATAATCTCTCCTGGTTCTTATTTTTTCCCCATTCCCCTGCCCTCCTTCAACCCCTCCACCCTTCCTATCTACACAGACTTTGTTTCTATTTTTTCATTTTCTCATATTCATTCCATTCCCTTCTTTCCTTTCCCCTACCCCTCCCACTTCCCCTTCCCCTTTGCCCCTTTTCTTCCTATTGCACACTATCTAATATACCTTTTAGTCCTTATTAACACAGTTTCTCACACTAGAGAAACTTCAGTATTTACACGTGTGTGAGACTTGTAACTCTTTCCAGTGTCTGATCTTTAAAAAGGCAAAAGGCCTTACACCTGGATGTTCATCACTGCTGAATTCCCAAGTAGCAACTACCAGATGTTTACAACAGGCTTTGTGATTAGTCATTAGTGATTCCTCATTGCCAATTCAATATTGTTCCTGGAAAGCTGTGAAAAACATCAGTTCAAATACATGATAAAAAGCTCCAGACTTTGTCTTTTAAATCCTTACAGCCAAAGAATTAGCAAAGGTTAATCATAAGGCCCAAATGAGAACCTTCTGAGTCTTCCTTCTGTATAAAAGATGAAATTTTATTAGAAAAGCTCAACAGCCAGGAGAATCCTGCAGTGGCATGCTAGATATTTAAATCACTTTTAAGCCTTTTTTCAAAATTAGATGCTATACTGCACATTTTGTATAAATAGGTAGACATAAGATAAAGATTTACCGCTATGTTTCAAATGCCACTTTCTCTTCTGACCTATCTTTCTAAGAGTAAATAAGGAAACAAGAAGTTCCCGAATAAATGAAAAATCCCTTAAGAATAACATCACAAACATATTTTATGAATTGCATAGACAGGGAATGCATAATATAGAATTTATTTAAATATTTCCAGGCACGAGAGATCTATTTAAGCTCCTTTTAGCATATAAAAAGCTATGACTTACAGCTGTTACTGTATAGCTTACCTCTTGACATTTACATGTTTTACAATAAATGAAATGACAGAATATTTTAAAACAAGGGAGCAAGAAGAGACAGAATCTTAAAATGTTCTATTGCTGTATTAGGAAAATGAAACTTACAGTTACTTGAAAAGAAAAATAAACAAATAAAACAATGGTCACATCGTGTCCTTGGTCCAAGCACAGAATTCCTATTGTAACAATAAGAAACGTGCAAGTTAAAGTAATTCCAGGATGTATAACATTTTGATTATTAATGAGAAGGCAGATGTCAAAAACCTTGTCCACAGAGAATAATAAGTTCAGAAATGAGAACATGGGAAGTGAAGCCAAGAAATAAAGTAGGCCAGAAGGAAGCTCGGGAAAATATTTTACATAAGAAAATGCAAGCTTGAGCATTTCTTTTTGTTTTTTTCTCTTTTTTTTTTTTTTGGTACCGGGGATCAAACTCTGGTCCTTGTGCTTGTGAGGCAGGCGGCAGAACCACTAAGCTAAATCCCCAGCCCAAGCTTGAGCATTTCTAAGACAAATAGAAGGAGAAAAATATTACAAAAGTTGGACAGTGAGGGAATGGGCACAGCTAAGTGAATCTTGGGGACAGTTCGTTCTGGAACATTGTGGCATAATAAATCTGTGACACTGGTTGAATCAGACCTTTCATTTCCCAGACTATCAGAGATTTTTCTATATATCGGGAAAATTGTATTCATCGAAAAGCTCAGATGAGCTAGGAACATGGGGCCTAATTAAATGGAAGCCCTTGTTTTAGATATGCAAAGAAAACACTTAGAATAGGTTTAAAGTATTTCGGCACAAATAGTTCAGCAAGTTAGATTGAGAAAAATTTAAATGTCTATTGGTAAATGAGACAAATCAGCACATTGCGTCATTAGCTTGGTCATACTCTTGTGTTGATTGTAATTTCCAATCCTTTAAGAAGCCCTGGATACTGAAAACTGCAGGCTGAATGCAAACACTGGGGGAAGAGCTAAAAGGGAAGTCAGTCTTCCTGCTTCTGGGGCACTCTGTCTCTAGCTGTAATCCTGGCTGAGGTTATGATCAGATCTGCTACTTTTCTCATAAGTTTTCTCCCAATCTGTACCCTAGAATGTGCATTGCCAACTTAGAGACAAAAGAAAGACCACAGATTCACTTAGTTTATCTTCCAGCCAAGAACCATGGCTTGATTCAAAATGTCCTTAAGTAACTAGTATTTGGTTGGATATTCTCAATTTAGTAACTGGATTTTACTTCAATCCACCATTAAGGATCATATATTAATAAAAAGAGATGAAGAATTAACTTCCTATATTATTTGGGCCAATTCCTAGAGCAGTAAAGAAACAGGAGTGTGTCTGGGGGTGTTTCCCATGAGAAGAGGCAGGGTTCCAAGCCAGCTCTGAGTTATGCTTACTTCGAAGGATGAACAGGGAATATGGAAGTCATTGGCTATTAAGTCAAATGCTAAAAAACCTAATATTAAAATGCTATATTCTAAGATTCATAAATGATGAATGGAGAGGTGAAATAGGAAGAAAACATTTTTTCACCTCAAGCAAAGATAATTGACTAACTTTATGTTGTCTCATGCATTTAAGATCAGTAAAGTCAGAAAGCTTAGTGAAATTTCTCAAAGAATACATTAAATAAATCATTTATTTAATGTATTTACAATGCATAATTTGGTACTCTAAATGATAGTTTTAAAATCATCTATTATGAGAACTTTCTCATAAGGAAAATTACATCATATATACTTTCATATCTATGATTTCCTGGTTATTATTATGAATTTTGTCTATCATCATTTTCCCACAGTGCCCTAAACTGAAGCTGTAAATTTATGAAACTGATAGTTGAGGCAAAAGTACTCAGCTACTGCAGGTCAAAATAATTCCTATAGAATACATTTATCTTAATTGTTGAAGTCTGTGTTCATATTTGTTTTTACCTTGATAACTTTGTGTCATAATCAGAGATCAGAATTGCACCAAGCAGAATAAAGCATGAGAGAATAACAAGGTCACCTTGACATTATTTAAAAATTTCAAACTTCACAAAAACAATAAAAGATATTTTGAGCTGAGTTAGTTAAAGCTCATTTTAAGTGAAGCAGCTATTTTTGCAAGAGTAGGCTGATTATGCTATCAGAGACACATTTTAGATGTACGTTTTATTCTTCAGAAAATACAAAATCAGTTAACCCTAGAGAACATAGACCAGTTTCAATCCTTATAATCCCTATTGATTGACATGTAATCCATTAGGATTAATTTGCTATTATCTTGTTTCTATAATCTTTGGCAAAATGAAGAATTAGAAGAGGTATCATGACAGTACAGAATGACATTTTTAAGTATAATAAAGTGATATGAACAAAACTATTATGTACTACAAAACACAATAAATAATTTACAGTAATTATACAGTCTCCATGGGAATAAATTATCACAAAAATAGAAAGAAGAATTTGAAAACAATGAAATTAAAGTAAAATGTTCAGTTAAAAATTGTGGGAACTTTCCATTAGATGATAGACTGATTTTTCCAAGTCACTGAGACATTATTAGAGAAATATTGTTCTCCTATTAGAGAGAGGACTATCGTGAGAAGTGGTTTCCAAAGGAAATACATTAAATCCCACATTTAGTGAACCCTGATTTTCAACTGTATCATTTTCATTCACAGGGACTGACCAAGAGGGGAGGTGAAAACCACCCCAAGAGCTGACATAATATTTGCTCATTCTCCCTCTCATTCATCTCTTCCGATGACCAGGCTGAGATAGCTCCCATAACTCCATCCAATTTACACAAATAGAAAATGCCAAGCCTGAGTGTAGACCAAGGGCGACTTCACTAGGAAAACCATCATTGTAATTGTCTTATTTTGTTTTTTCTTGTGTTTTGTTTTTTACTTTTTATACCAACCATGGGTTATATTAGAATAAAACAAACTATCAAATGTGATGGATGCTTGGGGATAGTTGTATAGATGTTTCCTGGCTTCAGGTGGCTCAACTTGCAGTTTTTTTCACTTGTGAAGTAAAAGTGACCTGTATTCAGTACAAAATGTATCTTGAATTTTCATCATTTCCTGGGCTGCTGAATGCAGTACAAAAGTCTCTCATGATCCTGGG